GCCCGCGGCCCCCCTGTCCCGGGGGCGGCGCTCGGAGGCAGCCTGCGCGCCCCTGGCAGGGCTGGCCTCCCGGCCGCGGCCGTAAGATGGCGGCCAGCTGTGGCAGAGCAGCGCAGCTCCCGGCAAGTCAGCGGCCTTGTCCCAGTTCGCAGCGCGCAGCTGTGATGAACGTCCCGCGTCCGACCGTGGCCTTGCTGGTGCACTTGCACCTTACCCTGTAAGGCGTTAGAAACGGCCAGGCCTGTAGCGGGAGCCTGCAGTGCTGTAGGTAGCGTTGTTCTCAGCCTCCTACGGGTGTAACCACATTGATGACTAAGGCTGCTGGCTTTTTAGCGATGAAAAAATTGCAACTGAGTTTTAATTAAAAAAAACAACCAAACAAACACGTTTGCATTGAATTCTGGAGTACAGTGTGTGTTCTAAGCTTTTGTGGGTGCAAATCCTGTCGCTTCTTTTTTAAGAATCTCTCCTTAGCTAAGAATTTACCCATTCTGGAGAAATGTATGTTTGTGGCACAGAAGGTTACAGTTGTAGTTATCTATTACAGTACCTGTGAAAAGCTGTTTCACTGTAACAGTGAAAGCCATTTCAAGGGACATGGCTTTATTCCTTCACACAAGATCATGCAAACGAGTTTGGAAGCAGTAAAGAATCACATTAGCTTATTCAGTCGCCGGTGGTAGCGGGTGTATTCAGGTCAGCAAAGGATTTAGAGATATTAAGACATAGAAAATGTCCTCAGAATTAAGAATTGAACTAATTTCATAGTTTCTAGAGTAGAAGCTAATTCTAAAGCCCTTTTTCTTATTTTTAATACAGTATAATACATTGCTTTTAAAATTATGTATTAAAATGAGAAAGTTTATATGGAATTAAGATACACTATCTCATAAATACCAATAATTTTTAATTATTCCCTCTGCAGTAAAAGTTGAACTGAACTTTGACTCTGGGAACTGTTGATAGGTTAACACAACAGATTTTACTCTGCAAAACTTGCAGAATCTTGTCAGTGTAGCACCTGATAAGCCAGTACAACCAAGTTGTGGGAACCTGACATCATATTTAGGAGCTGATTTAATAAATACCATGGAGTTGGTAAGTTTCCAAATGCTTGCTTGGAACTGGAGTTGTCTGAAATATGAGGAAATAGTCTTAGCTAAGAGCATACCATATTTATGACACTGTAACCTAGATATCAAGCTCTATTGATTACATTAATTTGCTTTACATCACTTTATAGATGTATCAAATTATATTGATATAACTTAAAGACAAACAATTAACATTGTAGAGGTTATTCAGTTTGATAACCATTTTTGTAGATGTTGCGCTACCATAAGCATGGTACATTTTAGCAATAATGCTTTAATGTTGGTTGGGATTTTTTTTGTCACTTTTAATGAGCACGGTACTGGATGACAGTATAATTTTAGTAAAAACTGTGTTAGAAGAAAGAACAGTTTTCTTAAATAACAGTGGTATTTCAGGCTCAGTAGAAAGATCCTTCGCTTTCAGTGACAGATTTAAATGTATTTGGTATATCAGAAGATATATTTGTCACCATCTCTCAGGCAGGTTTTGATTATATGTTACATGGATGTCATTTCAGTTATCAAAAAGAGGAAAATACTTGACATAGCAAAGCTGCTTTTTCTAGTATTTCAAGAGTCATTCTCTAGTACAAGCATTTTTATAAATCTGATTAGTTTCCCCACTGTAATAAAAATGAAACTTGTTTTTCTTCTAAAAAGGCAGTATGGGATACCAGTATATGAAGAGAGAATTTGCTTTGTCATATAAATAAATCTTTAGAAAAAACTATAATTGAACTTCATCAAAATAATACTGTAAAGAATGAAAAATTAAAAGGAAATTCCTAGGGAAACAGCCTTACAGCAGTTGCAATATAAGATACTGTAAGCATTCTTAGGGGTTCAAATCATCACATAAAGTGTGAAACCCACCTACACAGTACTGTTTATATGCTTCTGTCTTCATGGTGGGAAGGTCCTTAAGTGATGTATGTCTTTGAAAGAGAGAACTTGTGTGAAGGGCATAACGACAAAATTCTTTTTGAGGGTTCACTTTGAAGAGGGTTCATTTATTTGTTTTCCTGATGCAAGTTTCTAATGTATCAGGTTTTACTACTTTTTTTTTTTCCCCCTTTCAGTCACTTTTTTTGTCTTAAATTTGGGTCTTATTTTTAGGAGAGCTATCTTTTATATTAATTTCAAAAAGGGTAGAGAACACTTAAGTTTTTCTTCCTGGAAACCTCTGGAAGCATGTAGGAGGAAAACGACAAGCTTCTGTACTTTAGTTTAATGGCAATTGGTGCTGAAGCTTTCAAGTATTCTTTTACTAATATTTTCACCGAATATTGAAGTTTCATATTTTAAAATAAAAGCAGTCTGTCTAAAAATCCATTCTGTGTATATGTTCAGAGCTCTTAGCTTCCTTATTGTTGTGATAGAGCTTTCCAGCGTGGGCTAGTCCTAAAGGGAGCAATTAAAAGTAAAAACCTCTATTTTGCAATAAAGGCACAAACAGCAATTTTTTTGTGCGTTGCAAGTCACCTCTAATATCTACCCACGCTATGTAGGATGTCAGGTTTTTGTTTTTTTTGCTTCCAGCAGAAGTACTGAAGCAAAGTAAACTTCACGGTATGTATTTTGGACGGAGGAAGGAAGGGGTAAGTTGATTCTGCCATCATTTGAGTACATGAAATCTAGCCATTTCAAATCTTACTTGGGCTGTTAAACTATTCCTCCAACAAGACAATAGCTTGAGGGCATCAGAGAGTCTTGAACGTAACTGGTAATTTCTGCTACTGTGGTGACACACATTGATGACCTTAAGGGGCTTGATATTATGAGTGCTGAATGATTGAAATTTTCCTTTTGGTCATTGTTATATTAAGATGTATAATATAAAATGATACTATTACAGTTTCTTCTTTAAAAAAAATAAAGCACCCTCTCTTGTGTACTGCAGCATATTGAAATGTAGTGGAATTTACTGTTTTTTCAGGACAGATGGAAGTTTTGTGGTTCATGATGTACCTTCGGGATCTTATGTAGTGGAAGTTATATCCCCTGCTCATAAATTTGAGCCCGTGCGAGTTGACATAACTTCAAAAGGCAAAATGAGGTGAGCCTTTCGTGATTTGCTTCTGCATTGATCTATTGAGTATGCCTGACAGCACAGTATAAGGAGTAATGTAAACAGTACTGTAGATCTGATGTTCCAATCCAGATCATGTGTTTCAGCTTCTTTTAACATCACTTCTAGGAGCACATTTCTTAAAATCCAAAGTCTTGATTTCTTTTTTTCCTTTCATATATATGGCCTTAAATAAGAGGAAATGGATAAAGAGAGTCCTTCTAGTTGTTTACTTTTGTTATTTTCTTATGCAGCTATCCTGAAATAAAATCTAGACATAAATCATTTACCTGCTTTATCTTTTGCCAATACCTTCCCCCGCCCCCCCCTTCCCTCTTTCCTTTCTTTTTTGGTGAATGTTCTGTCAAGACTTGGTACAATGAAATTCTAACTCTAAATTCTAAAATATTTCTTTTACACCTCCATAAGATACTCCTTACAGTTACTGGCAAATGCTAGTAGTTGCCAGCCTGCAGTATTTCTGTAGCATCGTTAGCTTTTTTTATGTTATGGCCAGATACGTTATCCCTAACAACTATAATTGTACATGCGTAACTGCACACTATTCAGTAGGTAATACAGAAAAATGGCTTTCCTATCTAATAAGGTGATTTTTGTTTAAGTGAACATGTTTGTAGTTCATTTTTCTTTGTACAGGCACACATGTAGTATCTTAACTTCAAGTTTGTCTTTTACAGTATCTTATAAAAGATGCCATTACATTTTAGGAGTACAAACATCAATATAAACACTGCAGCAGTATTTTTCGGGGAGGCTGAAAATTGAAATCTCAAACTGAAAACAGTGTAAACAGTCTGTTTATAATATAATAGCACAAGTTGTGCTTAGATTTTTTTCCAAACTTTATGAAATTTTTATTTTTGTACTTTATTAGGCAGTATCTCATTGGCAATAATTAATACGTAATAAATACGGAAGGAACTCGGTGAAATAGACACAATAGTGTGTATAACCTCTCACTTAGCAGTGTTTTGGTATCTGAGGACTAGAGGTAACAAATTTGACATTAAGTAAATTGCTAGGATATGTCTGCAGAGCAAAGTACCAGTAGGCTTGACATCTCTACCAGTCAAACAGGTAGAAACTATAATGAGGAATACAGTTGGGAGATGCATGAAAAAATTTGATACACGGTGAAAATGTCAACTGGATTTTTCTAAGGGAAATTCTGCCTTAAAAAAAAATACTGAAATTCTTAGAAAGAGGAAACAGCATGTGGCTAACGGATATGTTTGATAAGATCTACTTGAAAATCTCCAAAGCTTTTGAAGAAAATGTGTAGTCATAAGGTAGGAGGGAAAGACATTCTATGGATGAATATTTGGTGAAAAATTCAGAAGGAATAAATGATTTGTCTTGTAATGGGCAGAAGTCATCCTTGGAGTTGGCACAAGGCGGGTAAATATTCATAAATCATGAAAAACGGGGGAAGAGTGACAAAGTTAGATGATAGTACCAAGTAATTATCTAAATACTAGGCCTAAGTGAAGAATACTAGTGAAGAACTATGGAAAAACCTTATAAAGTAAGAAAGACTGAGATTCAGTATTGATAAATGCAAAGTAATGCACTTACGGAAAAGGTAGTATTAACTTCATATATAAATAATTGTTGTCCCAAGCAAACTCTGTTTAAGCTACACTACACTGTTCAAAGCTGTACCTTCTTTTTAAACATTGTAGTTTTTCTTGCTTGTTACCAAGGTGAGAAAAAATGTTTTGCAGGAGTCACATTTGAGCAAATAGTTCTGATGTTTCTGATCTGCAGGTCTGTTTTCCATATCAAGTTTTTCAGCATGCTTAATAGCTAGCCTGGAAAAAAGGTAAAGTATCATTTGATTCCCTAAGTATGCTGCTGAGAGAAATTAGCTTCTGAAAAGTGAAGCCTTACACTGCCTAGCAGACAGTTTTGTTTGTAGTCTATTATTAAAACTTTGTTTGGAGTATTATTAATTTTTTTGTTGTTGTTAAAGATTGTATTTATGTTTTTAACTATTTACATTTTGCTTATTAGAGCAAGATATGTGAATTACATCAAAACCTCTGAAGTTGTCAGGCTGCCATACCCACTCCAGATGAAGTCTTCTGGACCTCCTTCATACTTTATAAAGAGAGAATCTTGGGGATGGACAGATTTCCTCATGAACCCTATGGTACGTACAAGCAACACACAAAGGTTAAAAGTATGCTAAGGATCCAAATATAGCTATTCTTCAGCATACTGAGAATAGAATAATTGAGAAAAGATGTGCACACTTTGCTCTTCTGAGAGGGTTGTTTTATTTCTTTGGTTTTTACTTGTTTACAAATAGAAAGTTTTTCTATGACTTCTCCTCCCCTATATAGCCACTCGGTTAATGTATGTCCTCTGAAAATAGCCCATAGTCTGGTTCCTTTGTTCCTTTGAACAACATGTTGTTGTCAAGTAGTGTGGAGATCAACATGTTGCAAGATTATAATTCTAACAGTTGAAAGAGATAACAAGCATTTACTTTAATGGTCCAACTTTGAAATCTGTTGCTTAAAACATAATACTTCCCTATCAGGTTTCTTTCCTGACAAGTGGATTACTGTTACTGGGTGACTGACTCAGAATGTAGTAGTTCTAGAATCTGGCTGTTTAGCTAAAAGCTTTATGTCAGTATGTCTAAAAATGTCTGGAACACCAAATAAGCTGAAGAAATATTTGCTGTTTTCTGTGTAGGTGATGATGATGGTTCTTCCATTACTGATATTTGTGCTTTTGCCTAAAGTTGTCAACACCAGCGATCCTGATATGAGACGAGTAAGTATGTTCAATTGATGCAGACACAGAGAACAAAGGTAATGAGATTTTAAGGTACAGAAAAGTAATAAAAACAAAACTGGACTTTCGAAGAAGTCTTAGTGGGCATCGTTTATTCAGTTAATACAGTGTTGCTGTTCTAACAATTAATTGTAACATTTCCAACTCATGAATTTGCTGTTGAGCAGCACAACACAGAATTAAATTGTTTGGCACAGCTTTGAAAGTATTACAGTATGACTGGTGTTTTCCAGAGTTTCTTTAGAGTGATAAATATAATTTCTCAAAGGCTCTTTTTTCTATAAATTTCTAATGTATTTCTGCACTATGTTTAAATCTAGCACTTCATTTTTAGATATCATTTAATAAGTGTCAAGTGTGTGGAGTATAACGTGGGGTTCTCTTATCCATCAGCCTAAAACACATAGTTTACAAGACTGTTAAATCCAGATGTCACAACAGTGTATATGATATGGAGTCTTAATGTAGTCATTAAATTATCTGATTTATTGTCCTTTCATCATGCAAAATGCTGAATAGCAGAAGGCTAGGACAAAATGGAGATTCAAGGTGTTTGCTAAATCTTTTCTTATTTTTAGAAATATGCCTTGTCTGTCTTGGGTGGCGGCTTTTTGAGGGTTTGGTTGATTTAAACCCCTTTTTCTCTAAATGACCACTGTCTTCAGTAGTACTTTATAGGTGACTGAGTCTTTTTTTTTTTTTAAAGTAATACCTATAAAAAGCATATCAGAGCTATGTAATGCTCTTTTGGCTTTAATTTTGATTAAAAACAGGATATGAAGATATGTTAGATATTCATGGCATGTGCTTCAAACCAAGCTGAACTTTGGAAGTTGAATTTTAAAAAGATCACTTAATCCTTACTTTTCTCACTGATCTGACACTGCTTACAGACAGGCTGTTTTGATGGTAGACCATCAGAACTTCTGATGATTTAGTTCTTATTAGCTGACTAATACGACCTGTTAAGGAGAAATTTTAAATTGAAGGAATCTTGCTTGTAATTTAAATTATCTTTAAAGAATAGGAGAAGGTAGTTTTTAAGAACTCAATTGTAATGGCATTCTCTAGATGAGAATGTATTAAATTCTTAAGTGTATAGCCAGCTTTAGTTTGCTTGTTGAGGGTATGGAGCTTGTATTACATTTTTCAAGTTAGCTTGTTTTTAATTTGGGGAATCAGCACAGTACTAGTTTGTGGAGAAAGTTAATGAATTAGTAACTGTGCTTGTTGTAGAGGCATTAAGTACAGGCATAGTATAGATGCAATAGTAACAAAGGCTGCCATAACAGCTTTTGCTTCATTTGTACCTTAAAAACAGTTAAAGCTGTATCATTCTGAATGGTAACTAGAAGAGCAAGGTGACGATTGGCAATTACTATAAGCATTATCACATTGCGGATGTGCAGTTCAGCTGCTGTGTGCATTAAAAGTACTTCAGGGTTTGTTTGTTTTAAACAGTACTAATTTGTGTCATAGAGCCAGTATGCTAAACTCTAAAGCTACATTAAGCTTAGCTGGATATATGGTCTCATATTAAAATCCTTCCTCTCATGAAACAAAGAAAGCTTAGCTGCTATACTCTAATAGCTTGATGTTACAAAGTAGGGCAATAAAAATACCTAATCCCTTGAAACAGCTTCAAAAATGTGTTAGATTTAGCATAAATAATACTAATTTGAAAACACAAAAGTATGTGAAATCTCTGTGAACACAGTTCTGAAAATCTAAACAAAAGCTCGAAGTTTAAAATGGAGGAAAGTAATGCTTAAAATAAGTAATGGCAATTTTTTCTTTTAGATTTTTTTTTTTTTTAATCTGGTGGTTGCCCTGTAAGGCTGCTTAAGACATGGTTACCTTTTTCCATACACCGGTGCTTTTAGTTTTGGGGTTTTATGTTTCTGTGTGTAGCTGGGCATTTGGCTGTGGTTGCATAAAAATGTAGCAATATGTACCCTGGAAGACTACAAATAGTAAAACAGTATTTGGGAAAATCTGACATCTTCCTGATATGATCTTACAACTGATGCCTTAGAAACAGCCAGAATTGTTACGAGCTATTAAGGTTATCTAATCTTTGCATGCAGGAAATGGAGCAGTCAATGAACATGCTGAATTCCAACCATGAGCTGCCAGATGTCTCTGAATTCATGACAAGACTTTTCTCTTCAAAATCTTCCAGCAAGTCGGGTAGTAGCAGCAGTAAAGCAGGGAAAAGTAGTTCTGGAAAAAGGAGGTAGTTAAGTCTTCCTCCTAAGCCTGAGTTTGCACAACTGTTTGTTTTGTGGTATCATGTTTATTTGTCTTGAAAGATCAAAAAGCCACTACTGTAAACTTTAATCAGACACAAAGTATGGTATGCTACAACTGTGGTGTGTAGCTTTTTTTAGTCTATATAAGCTGTTTTGTACTTGACAGTAAGCAAAAGAGGACATGGCTTCAATACTGTATCTGTATAAAGTTATTAATGATACTGAATTAACTATATTGTTCTGTAGAGAATTATTATAAATTATATGATGTGCTAAACAGTAACAAATGTCTTAATCATAAGACAGTGTACAAAAAAATTTTCAAAGATAATAGAAGTGGAGTTCAGTCTTAAGATGGCTTTAATGTTTTATACTTGCTGTTTGCTCTGAAGTGAACAAATCCTCCTTTCAAAATTGAGTTGTGGGTTTACTGAGTAAGAAATTTGCTGTATCAGCTTGTCATACGTGTTACATATAAAATGATTTTGGTTTACATTGTTTGCTGTCTGTACGCTTTAGTTTAAGGACTTTCCACTTTTTATTGCCCAATTTTATTCTGATCGACTGTCTGCTAAAACCTCTTTGGTGGGGGGAAAAAGCAAAGCATCCTGTATCAGAAAGTCTTCTAAGCTCTGTCAAGTTAATTTTGAATCCAAGGTATCTATATAACATGATGAACATTTATCTTGGATCTGTCCTTTCTAAATCACATGCATCAATTCTGCAACACTTGTGGTTTTCACTGTTTTCTGTGTGCTGTGCATTCATCTTATCAGTGGTATGATTTGAGGCCAAATACAGAACAAAATTTTTAAAATGAAAGAAAACACCTAAAAGTATAGTAGGAAGGTAAATCCCACTCATCTTTTAAATAATGTTCCAAAGTATATGGCTGTCTCAAGGTATGCTAAGTCACTGGCAAAACTTTGTTCTTTGAGCATGCCTGTGTGTCTGTACTGCAGTATCTTTTCAAGCTACCCAGTAACTTAAGAGAAAAATTGAAAAAAACTATTGCTTTCCACTAGATGAACATTTGCAAATTAAAATGACAGCAATATCTGCCAAACCCCATTAGCTAATGTCTGTAAATCTTCCTTTTTTCTTTTTTTTTTTTTTTTTAGCTAGCATAAATGCTGTTCTTTTCCATTTTTACAATTGCTAGCTTCTTAGGTAACAATATCCATGCAGTATGGGTAATGGATAACTGATTCCAGAAATGGTATTTAACATTCACCTAAAGTACACCTGAAGCAAAATCAATTCTAATGCATTTATTTGTTACACCAAACACTTAGGAGGGCTATAAATTGTTTTAGAACACATACTTAGAAGTATGCTGTGAATCATGAGCATTCATTTTGTTGGCTGGGACCTGTGCTCTGATACGATGCTGGCTTTTGGGGTTTTTAATCTTTCCTTTTTTTTTTTTTTTTTTTTTTTTTAGCTAGCATAAATGCTGTTCTTTTCCATTTTTACAATTGCTAGCTTCTTAGGTAACAATATCCATGCAGTATGGGTAATGGATAACTGATTCCAGAAATGGTATTTAACATTCACCTAAAGTACACCTGAAGCAAAATCAATTCTAATGCATTTATTTGTTACACCAAACACTTAGGAGGGCTATAAATTGTTTTAGAACACATACTTAGAAGTATGCTGTGAATCATAAAAGCTGCAAAAGACTACTTGCTCATAGGATTAAGTGAGCTTTTAAGATGTTGGAGAAGAAATAAACCAATTTTTTTGGACAATGAAAGATTTTGGTTTTTGCAAAGTAAGCTGCACATTTTTGGTCTTGTTTTTGTTTTGCTTGAATGGCCTTTTTGTTTTGTATATTAAGTAAAATATATCCAATAGGGACAAGAGGATATTTGGATATTCTTGCTGGAAGGGCAATTTTTTCTTTTAGACATGTTGCCTTTGTTAAAAAAAAAAAACAAAAAACAAAAAAAAAAACAAACACAAACCAACCAACCAAACTAAAAAACCCACCCGAAAGCCTCAAAAAAATCCTCTTTCAGCAGCATCAGCATCTTACTGAAAAATTCATAGCAAAATCAGGGAGCAGTTCTTTGAAGATGGAGCAATTAGCTTTGTTACTGTGCTGTCCTGGAAAGTACAAGCCACGAGTTACTTTTGTTTAACAGTAATTGGAATGACAATTAAATTGCATTAACTTGTTTTAATCACAGTTTGTTTGGTAATTAATCATACTGATGCATTTTTCCTTGTTACAAAGGTAAGAACAGCTCTATTTCTGCCTTCTTTCATTGTGTCTGTTCACGGTCTTGATCTGTCTTTAAGGGAGAATGGAGAATTCAGGCCATGAAAAGATGAAAGTCTTTGTTAAGAGTTCAGAGTAAAAAAATTGACAGGAATTGTAAGGATCCAAATAAAACTTTGGAAGGAGCATATGGAATATTCAACACTTCTCTTTTTCGTAGAACTGATAGCAAGGTCCAGGCAATTTCTTTGTGCATCAGGATCAGGTGCAGTGTACCACTCCTCTACCTTCCTCAACAGAAAACTCTGTCCCACCCTCAGAAGCCGGTTACCTGAACAATCCAAGCCCAAAAACCTTGTTACCTAATGTTATTCTCTTAATCGTGTATGTTACTGCTCTCCTTTTCAGACACCTTTGTGATAAAGTGATTTGTATAAGTGTATTGGTCTGCTGCTGAACTAATGCTAGTTACAATGGTAGCAACTTTTTTTTTTTTTTTTTAAATTTGGAGCTGGAATCTGTGTGTCCTGGAGAAAAGAGGTTCCAGCCAGAGTGCCCTGGTCATTTGAAGTCACTTGGTCACTTAGTCTTGGGCTATCATAAATGCCACTAGGCAAAGCTTACTTGATAGCTTTCCTATTGCAGTTACTAGTATAATGCAAGGTTGTCTTTCTGCAGAAAGTAAATATTTTCTATAGTTCAGTTCTAATTCCTTGTCCTTATTTACAGATTTTTAGTAGTCTGTCTTCTGTGTTAGGCCTGACATCTCTATTCTCCCAAAAAAACATAGCTGCCTTTTAGTGAAGCTACTTGAGATAAGGCAGACAGTAAGTTGAAGCAGCTGATACCTCAGAACAGAAATTAAAGATGTACAGAATCTGCTTGGACTATAGACAAACTGATTTCCTCATTGCCAAAAGGAGGAAGACTTGCTCCTTCAGCTTGGACCGGGTAATCCTGCTGCCTTCTGCCTACAAGTTCTGGTACTTCTCCGGCTTTGCCATTCGTTGACTTAACAAGAGAAATTTGTCCATCTTTCCTGCTGGATTTCTGTTATGTTTTAGAGAGTTAAATCAGCTCACAGAAGGATCAAAGAAATACCAGAGCCAGCAGAAAGTAAGCACCAGAGGCATGCAGTCAGAAGCAGGAACTCTTCTCTGTTTCTGGCAGTGAGCGTGAGTAATACAATCGGCTCACTGCATCTTAAGGATTTGTAGCATGAGAGCTCATTTAGCCATGCTCTAAATGAGTGGGCAACTGAGTTTATGACAGGCTGTGTAGAAGGGAGAGGAGACATATTTTGCTGAAGTCTGTTTCAACTATTAGTCATTTAAGGTGGCCTAGAAGGTGTTTACAATAGTTTGAAATAATTTTATCAATTACTTCATCAAAGGTGCTTCTCTCCTTCAATGTAAGGAAGAAATTTAATGTATAGATATCTCACCTTACTGTTTTAAATGAAGAAAATATTTGTTGATGCTCTTTATCTTTTTGATGAAGTGGGGATAATAATGGCTCTGTAAATGGGGTGTGTATCGCTTCAAAGAGAAAGGTTGGCTTGTGGTTAAGATTTGTATTTGTGAAGAGGACTTAAAACTCTAGAATCAAGTGCCTTGGGTTCTGATGCAGCTGTCGGGCTTTGTGCAAATCATTTATGATTTCTGTTTCAATTAACTTCCAGAAGCTTGTCCTACAAAAGTAATTGTAAGGATAAATTTGGTAATGAATATCAGGTACTCAAATAGTATGGCTACGAGCTTACTGAAGAAAATCCAGTAAGTAATCTTCTTAAAGAGCACCTTTATTAGGCATTTATATGTAGTTCTTTGTACATATTTATTAGAGCAACCCTTTTAAGTAACCACATGTCAAGATTTCCAAAGCAATCCAAGCAATTTAAGTACATATTCTTTTCCAATTTAGCGAAAAGTGTATTAAATCACTAAGATCCATTTAAATATCTCTACTTGAGTGTTAATGGACCTTTAATTCCATAAAGGTTGTGTGTGATCAGTAGCTCAAAGAGGGCAAAGTTTGTTTTACAGTTTGATAAAAGGACCCTATTTTTACAGGCTAACAGTGATAGCAGTACCTTAAGGTACTAAAAGGGCTTCACTTTCATTCTTAAGACATCATGTCTGACCTTAATCCTGTTGCTACTGATAGTTAGTAGATAGTGAATTTGTATTCCTATAATTTTTTGTTTCATTTGAAACTTAATTCTTTTAGGAAAACAGCCAATATAAAATATAAATAATAGTAAATCCTTAGTGGCAATGCATATTTTTCATTCTGATGTGTCAGAATGAAATATGGGTATATATATATGGCTATATATTATGCTTATTTATTGAACTGAAGGAGAACAGAAGTGTTTACATCTGCAGTTGATGGGCTAAGGAATACAGAAAGAACTTAAAATTTTTAACTTCAAATCAGCGGAAAAGCAGATTTACTGAAGAAAGTCTGTTGAAAGGTTAAAAACATATATATGCCCGTTTTGCACATTCTTGGGCAGGAAAAGCACAAGATCCACCTGTGGTACACAGGGCATTGGGAAGATCCTATTTAATAGGCTTAATCCTGATCAATATCTCCAAAGACCAGTTACTGAAGGGGCAACTGACAGTGAGGGCAGCTTGCCTGGAACAGCAACTGTGCATGCTGTACTCTGCAAAACAGAGTGCATAGACACTGTGTCTCAGGAGTTGTTCCTTGCCCATGCTAACTTCCCTACCGTGCCCAGGAATTACTGGGAGTGGAGGGGGAGTGTTGTTATTTGGCATATCCAAAAGCGTATCGACAACTGTTGCACAAGCTTAATACTGTGAATCAGCACATTCCCGTATCTGGTGAAGTTCTCTGGCAGTGTTTCATTTGGGAAGATACTTGAAGCTACTGATGATAGGAGAAAAATTTGGAGAAAGGCCCCCGAGGTAATGTAAGGACATGAAAAAAACTGAAGAAATTTTAAGGATTGCTGTCACAGCAGATTTGACCCAAATACTAAGATTTTTAAAAAATAACAAAAAAAAAAGTAGACAAAAAATGTTTTC